TTTAAACCCCTTTCCCCCTTCCAGAGCCGGGCGGGAGGTGGTCCCTGAGGGTGGGTGCCCCCTCAGGGCACTATAGTGCCAGGAAAACAAATATGTTTGGCAGTATAGTGGTCCTTTAATGCAAGTAGAATGCAAAACAATTATTTTAATAGTTGACAAAAATCCAGGTTAAAAAGTAATCTCGATCTGAAGATGGATATCTCAATGTGTTAATTGGCTGAAAATTGTGTGTTTGTGTGTGTGTGTAATATGAATGCATGCATGTTTTATTTTACCAAATAAGGTTTTCAGATAAACAAAGAACAAAGCAACAATAAATATAATTATCAATTAGCAAGTTTCCAGTGTTTTAGCTGCTTAATCAATGTAATCATTAAAATATATATAATCCACTCCCCCTCCCTCTGTTTACCTTGCCAGGGTACAGGGGAGCAGGCTGATGATGATCCCTGGTTCTCCAGCCGGCTGGTCATTTGGTCTGTACTTACGCAGGGTACAGACCATGCTTCTCTCTCTCGCGAGCGCTGGTATTAGCAAGCGCTGCCACAGGTTACCATGGCAATGCTCTGATAATATCGGAGCTCGCAAGAGGGAGACAGGCAGGAGCGCCACCAGAAATTTTGGGGCCCCTAACTCAGCTCAGGGTCTGGGCCCCTTGGGGCCCGCCTCCAAATACCGCCCACAGGGTCCGCTTCCAAATACCGCCCAAATACCGACACAAATGACACACATCCTGAAACTATAAATGTTGATCAGGCCCCACTACATTTGCAAAGACCCAAATCCCTTCGTTTATGAACCCTAGTCACACCTTCCTGCATGTGACTTGCACAGCCTTCCATAAACACTTCCTGTAAAGAGAGCCCTATTTAGGCTTTCTTTATTGCAAGTTCTGTTTAATTAAGATTTTCTTATCCCCTGCTATGTTAATAGCATGCTAGACCCTGCAAGAGCCTCCTGTATGTGATTAAAGTTCAATTTAGAGATTGAGATACAATTATTTAAGGTAAATTTCATCTGTTTGAAAGTGAAACCAGTTTTTTTTTTCATGCAGGCTCTGTCAATCATGGCCAGGGGAGGTGTGGCTAGGGCTGCATAAACAGAAACAAAGTGATTTAACTCCTAAATGACAGTGAATTGAGCAGTGAAATTGCAGGGGAATGATCTATACACTAGAAGTGCTTTATTTAGCTAAAGTAATTTAGGTGACTATAGTGTTCCTTTAATAATCTAAAAATGAAAAACCAGTCTGGACCTGATCAAATCCCAGCAATGTTGTTGAAGCTCAGTGCGCCGGCAATTGCTAAAACCTGTCACAACTCTTTACGCATGTGAGTAGTGATGTCCCGAACGGTTCGCCGAATGGTTCGCCACGGACTCATCATTGAGTAAACTTTGACCCTGTACCTCACAGTCAGCAGACACATTCCAGCCAATCAGCAGCAGACCCTCCCTCCCAGGCCCTCCCACCTCCTGGACAGCTCACTAAGAATGCAGCTTCACAATGAATGTAAAATTGATGCTGTCCAGGAGGTGGGAGGATCTGGGAGGGAGGGTCTGCTGCTGATTGGCTGGAATGTGTCTGCTGACTGTGAGGTACAGGGTCAAAGTTAACTCAATGATGAGTCCGCGGCGAACCGTTCGGGACATTACTACATGTGAGTATTACCAACAATCTAACTATCTGAGCCCTGATCAATCAGGTTTTCGCCCGAATCCCCTCATTACAACTTCCCTCTTAAAGTTTTGCAATGACATCCACACTGGCATAAAACAAGGATACCAAGCTGGAGATATTTTCCTTGATTTTGCAAAGGCTTTTGATACAGTAGATCACGATATTCTACTGCACAAACTAAAAAACCCAGGTATTGGTGATCGTCCGCTAACTTGGTTTCGATCATATGTATCGAATTGATCACAATATGTGTCCATTTCTGAAAGCGACTCCATCTCCCAGTCACGTGTGGTGTTCCCCAAGGTTCCATTCACATTATTTATAAATGATCTGCCTAATGTCTGCACATTCTCAAATGTACACATGTACGCAGATGACACCTTAATCTATGCTAGTAAAACCAATCTACTGCAGCCTGAGGCTGTGCTCCAAGACCAGCTTACAGAGGTAGAAAAGTGGGTCGCAAAAAATAAACTCTTCCTGAACACTGACAAAACTGTCACAATGATCTTTGGAACAGTACCTAAATTACACAAATTACAAAATTCTCACCTATCCCTCAAAACAAAATCAAATAGCACACTGACTGCAGTCACCTCTTTCAAATACTTGGGTATGTTGTTTGACCCCAATCTATCTTTTTGCCTCCACATAGAAAAACTTGCATCTAAACTTTATCCCAAAACTAGGTGCCCTGTACAGAAACAAATCCTGCCTAAGCCCTACAGTAAAGGAAAAGATTGTACAGCAAATGCTGATGCCAATCATTGATTATGGGGATGTAGTATATGCACCTGCACCGCAAACTCACCTAAATAAGTTTAATACATTGTATGACTCATTCTGCCGCTTTGTGCTACAATGTAATTACAGGACTCACCATTGTGACATGCTAAAATAACTAAACTAGCGGTCGCTGGAATCCAGACGCACCCTTCATCTTTCCAGCCTTGTGTTTAAGAGCTTTTCTGGGAAGCTCCCACCCTACCTGAGCAGAATGCTCTCCCCGGCTGTTCTCAGCTCCTATAACCTCCATAATTTGCATAATAATGTCCTTTGAGGGATTGGGCCCTAGTATACTTAGGCGCATTCGTACATCCCTTTGTAACTCTGATTCTTCACTGCTCCCTGTCGATAAGCTGGCTTGATCGCTCTCCATGACTTCGGCTATAAGCGTTCTTTTTTTGTTGTTGTTACTTGCCGAACGTCCACAAGCTTCCAATAGGTCTTTCAGCTTTGTTCGCTAAAGAAGCTGGTACTGCTGGGCCAGTCACTGTTGTTCCTTGTTCAGGAAATACATTCAGAAGAAAGATCCCGCCGCTTGTTACCAACTGTAACGAACCTCCTGTACCCAGAGTGGTACATTTGTCTGGACTCCCCGAATTCAGTTTGTGTGATTAAAGCCGTTCATTCTATAGCAAACATCAGTCGAGACTAGATGAAGGATACAAAGGAATGCTTTATTATGGCCAAGTGGCCTGCTAATATACACAGACACCCAGCACTGGGTCTCCAGTAAAAGCATAGGTAAGCCTGCCCAGGCTTCTGTGTCTGGGAGATAAGACACAGAATGCCATACCCGCTCCATCACAGCTCTGACTTTCAATGTTGTCAGAGCGCAGCCTGAGAATCTCTAAGCCTGGGCTCTGACTCACTAACTGAGAGCCGGAACCACGAGGGAGAGGCTATAATCTGACTGCACCTACTGCTGGTGCGCACCAGTGGACCACCAGCGAATCATTTATATTGAATATGCTGGTGTCTCCAACTTGTGAGCTGTGTTGGCCGCCGGGCGCCTCTGTTGTCATGGCACCCTGCGTGACCGCACAGCGTGCACACCCCAACGGCTGGCCCTTCTGACATACACTGATGTTACTACTTAGACATCCCTCAATATTAATACAGACATCAGAGTAAACACCAATAAACTGTGGAAATAGAGCTGATCCCCCCAAATTTATAAAGATTTGTTTACTGCATTTGTTGTAATATTAAATCATG